CTTAAAAGTAACTTAAATTTACTTTCGAATGTTAAAAATTTACTTAATTGCTTAATCAAATGCGTTGATTATAAGTTAAACGTATGACTATGATATTTATTGAATGCTTTGATGAAAGTTTCTTGTTGTTTGGGAAACTTATTCTTTAAGTCTTTGATAAAATTAATTTATTTAAAGTGGTAATACGTACTTGAGTTCCTTTTTTGGTTTTGTACTACAATTATTAATTACAACAAAAAATCCACATAAGAGTTAGGGCTTGTTCGAGTCTTTTTTTTTTTTTTTTNNNNTTTTTGCAAAAAAAAAATACATTTTGCAATAGTGTTACGATGAATATTGTACAGTTAAAAAATAAGCAAAAATTTTAAATTAATTAAAGAATGTGAGATTGTAATGTGATCAAATCACATTTAATAATGCATTTTTATGGAGTGGAAAATGGGGCTCAAACAAGTGCTTAATTTAAGCCCAAGTTTGGCCCCATTAAATTTTAATTTATTTTTCTCTCTCCTCTTATTAATTACATATTCTCTCAATAAAAAAATATTACATATAAATTCAAAAATTCTCTTTATTTTTTAACCATATATTCTTCAAAAAACACTATTCGAAAATCATTTTTTTTTTCAAACAATGGCTAAATAGTACTTATTCATTTTACACTTCTTTTCTTTTTCCGATAATAGCATTCATTTTATTATAATAAAAGTCCGTTTGACAGAACTTGTGCTTATTTTTGAAGAGTTTCATAATAAAATTATCTCGTGTCAACTTTCTCTAAAAATACTTCTAGCCAGAGAAAACATTTTTTAAAAAAATAAATTTAAAAATAACTTCTGATTTTTCAAAAGTCCTGCAAAATGGATCCTAAATATGTGTTTAAAAAGTGCTTTGAAATAATTCAAAAATATAATGTTAAATCTCATACATGATTATGCTATAAATGTATTAGACTCGGAATCATGTTTCATTTGGTTATACTCACTTCATTTTTGAATATATGGATTGACGATGAAGAAAGAAAGGTTTTGTGTTCTCCATCATATAATTAGCAAGATAACCGTTGTTTTATTTTATTATATATTTAAAAAAAATACTCGCATAGAAAAACCTTCTCGATGTGTCGAAATTTAATGCACTATTTGAAAACAATTTCAATATTTTATTCTCGAATCTTAATATAAGGGGGAAAGGGTTATTTTGTGATGAATAATGCTATTCATTATTATAATAATGAAACGATGGTGATTTGATAATTTAGGTAGAATAATGAGATATGACAGTTCACTCCCTTATTCTCTCATGAAAATTGAACTATCATATTCCATTATTCCACATAAATTGTCACATTACCAATATTTCATTATCTTAATAATAAATAACATTACTCTTTTGTGATAAAATGTTTATCAAATCTATTTAATGTAATCATTAACTACCATAATATAGATATTAAGCCCTTATTTGGTATCCATTATTTTCAAAATATATTTTTCTCTCTTATTTTCAACTGCACATTTTTCAATAAAATAATATTACATACAAATCCGAAACTTTTCTTATTTTTTAGTCACTAATTTTTCAACAAAATACTATTTTAAAATACATTTTTGGAATAAAAATGGGGCTCAAACAGGCGCTAAATACATCAAAAACCATTAACTATATTTTTTTTCTTCTCAATTTCACTAATACTATTAAGAGCTTGTTTGAAAGATGTTTTTGAAAATAATTTTCAACAAAGCATTTTATAAGATTCATAATTTTTGGAATAATTGTAGTAGAAGCCTCAAACCTTTAAAATACTATTAGACTTTTCCCAAGTCTTTCATTTGTTGCTGTTGCCACCTCCTATCTTTCCAATCATTGCACGCGAGGCCTTTTGGACGGTTTACATCCAAAATACCATTAGTTGACTGTCAAAATTAAGTTTGATAAAATTTTAATCAATTTTAAAAAGGCAAAATGATAACTTTCTATTTATTACGTTAAACAATAAAAAAAATTTAAATCAAAAAATAAAAGAAAAATATCTCTCCCTTTGACCCACCCTCCACCCCTCACCTCACCCCCAAACCACCTGCAAAAATTAAAATAATAGAGCTGTCTTCAATTGTGGACGACGACACCGGTGCCGCCTCCATAGATTTATAGATGGTGAGTATGTCAATGAATTTTCAAAACAAAACGAATGGAAGAAGATTAAGCAAGAACTGAAAGCTTTCAATTCGTTCACACTCTTTCAGAATTTTTTTTTGAATAAACTCCAAGATCCCCAAAAGAAAAATGGCATCTTGTGGCTCCTCCGATCTCAACCTCCTCGACTTCGCACTTCACCACCGTCTACATGAAGGATGCCATGGAGACTTCCTTCTACACCATTGTTACTTCTTCTGATTATTTCTTGATCATTTGGTAGCAACGAGGAAGGAGACATTGCATTTTTTGAGGTATCGAAATTCCAAAATGTGGAAGAGTTCTGTCTCCACCAGAATGTTGGTGCTAAAGAGGGAATCCTCTAGTAGGAAATTGGTGAGAGACTGTTTGCGGCGACACAATGGTGAATGGAGGGCTGGCTTGAGGTGTTGCCACTGACATTGGGCTGTGTGATTCCATGTAATACGAAGTTAAGGTTATTTCGAATTTGACGTTGATTTCCTGAGCAAAATTAGGGGATTGTCTCTCGTCGAAAGTCGTGATGGTTCTTCCAATTAGCCGGAATCGCAGTAGCAAGTGGTGGTGGTTTTATTTTTCTAATTTTGGGTTAGGGAGAGAAGATACTTTTTTTTTTTTTTTGGTTTTTTAATTGTTTAATGTGGTAAATATAAAGTTACTATTTTACCCTTTTAAGATTGATTAAAATGTAGCCAAACTTAATTTTGATGGTCAACTGACGGTATTTTGGATGAAAATC